GACTTACGAGTCAAGGTCCAACTTGTTCCCAAAAGTACATAAAGTATAGTTCATGTTTGCCAGACTTTCCCTTTTCTTCCGTCCTCTGCGAAAAGGTCAAAATCACACGAGCGTCATCACACTTTCATTACGTCTGCCAATAACAATGTAGACCATACGCTGTTAATTCATAACAGCATCAGGATGGATGAGGTTACACAAGCATGTTGCACTACACACACAGTGGTCATCACACTGCTCACCCGTCTCCTAACATGTGGGAAAGCCCTGATGGCGTTCCTGACGCCACATGTTGCATTGCTGGCAGAGTTGTCATTCATTCAAGCAGCGACGTGGTCAGGTGACTCTCCTCTCCCTGCACAGCGTTTGTCGCAGTGCATCAATTTTGACCCTTTTTTTGAGCGTTCATGAAGCAACTTCACAGCCGAATTAAGACACTGTTTATTTGTCAGTCGTTAAATTAAAAAAATACCAACATGTAATTGTTTGTACCTTATAGTCTCGGGAGGGAAAAGAGGAGAAGCGGCCACTTAATATCCACTTTATCTGAACTGGATCTGTGTTACAACGCTGTACTAAAGAGAATGCTGAAACATATTGCAGTGACTCATGTCCCTTCAGGGTCCCGGGACGTGTCCTCAGACTTCATGCAGGTCGCCTCCTCACAGCACGGCAGCTTCAGCACATCTGTACAGTGATTCAGCACATCTGCCGCATTGCTTTGAAGAAGTGACCCAGCAGTTTGTCTTCCGTCACTTTAGCAAGTGACACGCGGGCGTTTCTCCATCCGCTGCTCCTCTCTGGCTCCTACAGGTGCTTCCACGCACCTGTTCGGGCCCCCATCATCATCATCATCATCATTCTCACCACTAGGTGGGACTCCACGTGGTTGCCGGCGCGGCCCTGACGTACGAGGAAACCTTTCATTGACGGTCAACAAAAGGAGGATGTGAGAGTCGACGAAAGGAAGCAGCTACAGAGCTGCACGCAGCACGAGGCCGCCCACGTTCCAGTTATTAGACTGGCCCCGTCGGTCGGGGCAGCAACGGCCTCTTTGCAGCACTTTAGTCGTGGCGCTTGTGGGGAGACGGCGTGCTGACGTCAGAGGGCACACGGCTGTGCAGTGGTTTGATTGGTTAAAGGTTACTACGCCAAACTATTTTAAAGGGATATGTTAACGTGTAAAGAACTTTAGGTACATTAAACAGGATGTTTGAGGTCTCGTACAAACACACACATTCATCGACAGACTCAAATTTCACACTGACGTCATAATTAGTGCTCAAAGACGTGTCCATTTTCTGTGCGCGTGACGTGTGATCTTCCACGTGACCCCGAAGGGAAAGCTGCCCTGGCGTCGGAGTCGTGACTGAGTTAAACACGGACCACATCATAAACAGTGAAAACAGCTATTGTTATGTGATAATGAAGTGAAAAAGTTTTGGGTTTTTTGTGCCCGACTGAGAGGCCTGACTGGAATAATGAGTGCTTAACATCTGGGAGGCGAGCCCAGCTTTGCATTTAAGAAACCGCTCATGTTTAGGATACGGCTGCGATTGAGACCAGATGGTACAGAGAAAAAAAAGAAAAAGCACTTCATTTTTCATTACGTTCTCATTGCATGGAAGTCCTTTCAGACACAATGGCCCCCGCTCTACATCTCCGTGGAATCCGTAAGGACACAATGAAGCTCGTGAGGAACCCGGCGACTCATCTTCGAACTTTGATGAAAAACGCCCAGTGAGCCGGAGTAAAGATCCTCCTCTTCATCCAGCGAATCAAAGCGCCACGTAATGTGCAGTGCTCTAGGCACATCCACCCCCCCCCCTCCCCCAGGGGCCAGAATGATGGTTTGACTGGAGGATGGAGGGGGGTCATGAGGAGCCGGTCAACGCAAAGGAGCGGGGCGAGAAGAGGAGAGGGAGGGGGAGGCGGACGGGGGGGGAAGGGGGGGGGGCAACGCAGGCGGGAAGAGTCTAAAGTGAGCCGGAGAAGTCTTTGAATCCCGTGGAATTCCTCTCCTCCTTCCGCGGCTCCTCTGGGGAGGCGTCAGGAGCCTGTGGAGAGAGCGAGGTAAGACGGCGACTGTCAGGAACAAAGCTTCGAATTCACATGATATGTTTAGCTAAAAGGGTGAAAGAGAAGTGAATCAAAGCGTGGCGGGGATCAAAGAGAGCGCAACAATAAAGTCAAGGCGGTTGCCATGGGACCAGCAGGAGATGCATATCATTTTAAAAAAGTTGCTCGTCGACGGCGTCAGATGTGCAGGGGATTGATTGTTATTGTTTGGTGGGTGAACCGCCGCCGGAGGGGGGGGAGGGGGGGTGAGGAGCAGAGGGGTCATCGGCGCACAGCGAGAGGAGCGCGTCTCCTCGCTTGTCTTGAACAGCAGCCGCCTGTGATCGGCGTCAAGAGGCCGCCGCCGAGGCCCCTTCAACTCGCGACTAACAGACGCAGAGACAACTCTGTCAACCCGGTAAATATCTCGTCGGCACGAAACCACTGATAGGCTAAACATTTTTGTTTTGCATTTTACACTGTCAGAGGTTATGATCACCGCTGCTGTTTGAAGGTGAAATCAAATAGACTAAAGCTGAGACTCCATTCAAGCGCTGTAAGTTTCAAACGCGCTGCTGTGGAATATGCTGCTGTTATTTTCCTTCCGTTTTGTATCCTTTGAAGTTTACCCAAATTAAAAAACACGCATCTAGCCGTGCACATCATTTTAGTTTGATGTTGGGATTATCCAAAGTGTGAAGCTTGTGCCACCGCCTCAAAACAAAGGTGGGGAATTAGTTTGAGCTTTTAGTGTTCAGATAGCACAGGAAACATGACCTTTGAGGTGCGCAGCGAGGCAAAGACTGAGAAGACAACCTGTCCACTCACTCGTCCCTCTGGGCTACAGAGAACCACAGCGGCCTGCAGGCCCGTGGAGAAGCCCACAAGGCCCCAGGTATCGCGTGTCTCTACTGAGGGACTCAGCAGTTGACCTCTGAGGCAAAAAGTTACACGTAAGAAAAAATGGTTCATATATTTAATTCTGCCAATAAATGCCCAATAATGTTTTGGACTTCCGAGACATACAAAGTTTAGGAAAATAAAAAATGCTGATCAAAAAGAAAAGGTCTTTGTCAACTTTGGTCTTTGACCTTATTATTAATAAATCTAAATTATGACGTGGGTCAACATTTTGGCTTTCCCTTGATTGTTTTTATTTTCATCTTCTTTTTTTTCTCCCCCCATTGCTTCAGAACAAATTGTAGGACAGCACATGGGACGAATAATTATTCTGTTCTGGAAATATTCTAATTATGTCTTCATTACTGAGAATAAATGGATTTTCCATGTGCACAAATACCTGCAAAAAAGCCGCCAATTTGATTGACACGACAGTGCGCATGTAATTATTATTATTTTTGTATGTGCAGGTGCCTGTTGGCGTGTGCTCGTGCGCTCCTTCCCAGCACGTGTGTGCGCGTTGTGCTCGTGCAGAGATGAGACCCGTCTGTCTGCTGCTCGCTCAGATTGCACCCACGAGAGCTCCCAAAATAACAACAAAGAGCCCTCAGTGGGTCGGATGAAAGCCCCGTCACCAACCATTGCAGCACACAGTCTCCTCCCCTACTGTATCTCTGAGTGACACCTCACACATCACACGCAGACAGGAAGCTCGTATTTGACCGTAACACGTATTTCCATTTGTTAACGAGACGGCCATTGGCTTTTAGCAGGAGGCCGAAGGGGTTTCAGCAGGAGGCCGAAGGGGTTGTGCGGATCACGTCCAGTGTATAAAAGTTTGGGAGGTCGCCTATAACATTCTCCCTGTTGTTAAATTAAGGGTTAACCTTAACTTCAGCAAAGGTTGGACGTTAACACGTGTGAATCATATTTTTCTTTGAAGAAATAATTCAACGTTTTTGGAGCAATATGCTCATTTGCTTTGCTTCCAAAAAGGATTTTTTTTAAATGATCGACGTTTGTGTCTCGGGCAGGCTGCAATTAGCTTAGCTTTTTTTTTTATTTTTTACAGCAATCGACACCTCAGAGACTTGCTTGTTGTATCTTGCATACGGTACAAAGACTCAAAATGTAGAAGAACAAGTTGTGATTTCAACAGAGGGCCACCTGCTGTAACTCCTGTAGTCACCATGAGGTTGCCAGGCAACGGGAAGAGGCTGCAAGAAGTCACTGCTCTTGGCTTTTACATAAATTCAAACACGTACTTCCCCAAAAACAACTTGCTTTTTTATTCTTTTTAACTTATTCATTAGTGAGATATTAGGTGCTAATGGAGTTTTACCATTTCCCCCTTGGTTCCAGACTTCATGCTAAGCTGAGCACGTTCCTATGTCTAGAATATAAGAATGGCTTTGTTTCTTCTTTTCTACAATGGAGAAACGTTTGAATCATGGATTTTCACCAAGAAAAACAAACCAAATGCAAATGTGTGATGAATCGGAGACCGACGTCTCCATTAGAAAGTACAACTCGATTAAACAGCCCCAACACGCAGTTAAACGTGCAGTGAAAATACTTCCATGTTCTACTGCTGATGTCGGGCCAGAAACGCTGCAAACAGCAGAAGGACTCCATTGTTATTTCTAACCGGTAGAAGCCCCGAGGTTATTTTTCCTCTGCCTTGAAACAAATCAATGAAGCAAAACTCACTTTGAACAACTGCACGTTTGCTGAGATCAGATGTGGGTCGAGGAGGCAGCACCATGTGGTTTGTTGACGGAGCAGGACTCTGATAAACAAAACCTGCTCTGTGAAAACAGGTGCAGAACGCATTCGGGAAAACTGACTGATTAGAGAGGGTTTGTTATTCCGCATGCAACCATTTGCATCCTGTGGATCCTTCCCCAAGTCGTGGCAACGTCCAGACTGTTTGTTTTCGACTCAATCGTTTCGACACGGGGATTTGCAAAAAAAATCTGTCCGAGGTGAAATTGCGCTGTTACTTTGGGAAGTGTGTCAACAAACAATGTAGTTTCATTGAATCAGCCTTCGGAGGGGGGAGGTTTTTATTTTCTTTGAGACAATGATGCCCCCAAATGGTGAAACTAGAAGTTGCAATGAGGTACAAGTCCCCGTCGTAAGAAGGTCCACACGTTTAATCTTATAAAACGTCGGCCTCTTCATTATCCAACAGGTCGTCATTACATCATTCTTGTTCAAACACGTCCTGCTTTCTCACACAAAACACTGTGGCTGTGACTCAAACCCCAGAAAGCCAGCTTATCCCCGCTATCGACACATGGAAGTGCTTTCTAGTCGCTATCTCCTCGCTCTTAAATCACTCATTTTAATATCAAAGCCCTTAACAGGAGATCGCTGATTGCTTGCAGGTGGACGTCAGCGCTGCGTCTGCAGAGAGTGACTGAGCTCTTATCCGACACGTTACAGTACGGCCGCTGTCTCCGCGGGCAAGATCGCATTACACAAGATTACTTTGGAGTTTCAAGCAATTTTCCCTAAATTACACCGGCCTTTGGTCTCTGGTAAACTTGATTGACTTGAATGGTTTTCATTAGAAGAGAAGAAAAAAGAAAAGAGAAAAAGGGGCCTTGCGGAGGTTTGCTGTTGTTGCTCGTACACAAAGAGACAAAGAGCCGGGGCGCTGCAAGGGGGCCGCGCGCTGCACGGATGTGCACGTCTCGGAGCCGTGCTCGATGGGAACCTGCGCCGGGCCGTCTGATTCGTGACGCACATCTGTCTCGCACGCTCCCGCCGCAGGACAATTTGGGGTCTTTAAAAAAAAAAAAAAAGAAAGAGAATCGGTCAGCCGTGCAACATGTGCATAAAGCTGTGGGTTCGTTGAGCCCATGGAGACTTTCACAATCGGTACTGCTTTGTATGTGTTGATGTATACAGAGTATGTTAACAATAAAAACAGTTTTTTCAACATATATTTGAACTCAAGTCCACCCTCCCCCCGTCTCCCTTCATCAACAGAACAACATGAGTCATGGAAATCAGTCGGATGTCACCGAGTCCAGACTGACAGGAAAATGGCCATGAATAACATGACCACCCTTATTACGGTTCTAGAGAAAATACTTAGAGAACAATCCAAGAGCCAGAGGGCTCCAGATATACTGTCAGTGTCAAAAACAATAAGCCGTTTGTCCTGGCCAGAGATATCCCCACATTCCCATCAGCTGTTTGGCTGCACTGCCAGATGACTCAAAGCTGAAATGAAAGAGGAAGATCTGTAAGGAATTAAGGGATAGTGTCTCTACTGCAGGAGGAGACTCTATATCAATAAAGTACAGATTCATTCAACATCATCTGCCTTGGTTCTGGATGTTAAATCCAGCTCTACAGCCCACATCCACTGGAAAGAATTAGTTGACAAAACAGGGTGTGGGTGTGTGTGTGTGTGTCTTCAGCAAGTTTATGATGCCACCTTGAGGAGGTTTACTGACACAGCAAGGGGGCCAAAGGACGGCGCTTTCAACTGCAGAATAAATAGTTGGCTGCCATTCGCAGAGTATCACATGTCTGCTGTAAGTAAAACGGTGACAAGCTAAGTGTTTTGCTCTGCAGCTCTGGTTTGTGGGCAGATTAACGTCAGCCCGCTAAGCAGCCATCAGTTTGATCATCAAGCGCAGTGATGATCAAGAAGGGCAAACGGAGTAATAATGTTTGCCGCATTTTCGAAGAATGCGCCGCCCGTGACACGGGGAGTCGGACTTGAAGAAGGCTGATCCTGGATTCGACTGACCGTTAATCATCTTCCTCCCACTGCATCCAGATTCATTTAGCGTGACGTGTTCACGAGGCCTCCTGATGAGCGCGGTGCCAGTGTCTGTGGACCGACGAAGCCGGAGCCAACCACACTAACCACACAAGACTTTGGACTTTTACTTGCCATTGTGTGGGCAATGGTTGAAAAAATACTTTTACAAAATCAATTGAGGGTGTTCCTACTATTACTTAAAATAATAAAAGGATCCAAGTATTTCTTCAACCACTGAGCAAAAGGCCAGAAATGAAATGATAAGGATTATAAGAAAGGCATTAAAGGATGCAGATGCAGTTCTCTCCTGTGAAACTTTGTCACCTCGGTCACAAGGACCGTATCCCCTAATTTCCACCACACGGCACCTCAAGCAGATAGAACTGAACTGATTCTTGACTCTTTGTTTTCTCATGGAAAGATTCTTGTGTGACTGTGGTCCCTGATTTTGGCTAAAGGTTACCCACAGCGTGCAGTGTCCCCCGGGGCCTTGAACAGAGTGTCGGGGGGGGGGGGTCACGCTTTGATGCACAGCATGGCACCCAGGATGCTGTCCGTGTGCGCGATGTGTGCCGTTGCGAAGCCGTGGCGCTCCAGAAGCACGGCGTACTCCGCCGCGCTCCTCTGCCTGCCCTCGCTCATGCTGAGGGCGTGCAGCAGGCAGCACCGCGGGCCGCCTCGGTCTTCATCCAGGAAGATCTCACTGAGCAGGAGCCCGCAACCTGCCAGCCAGGGGGAAGAAGGTGTATGATTTGTGTGTGCAAACTGTGGCAAATTTAGAAAACAACAGTGGTGGTGTGACCGTTGCTTCTGCTTCAGGCAAAGACTTAACCACTGAGAGGGGAACCGACTTCTTGTCACTGTGCCGTTTTATAAGTCACAAAAAGCACTGACATCTTGCAGCAGAACTAACTTACTAGCAAACTACATAGCTGCTGATGCTACAGGAAAAGGGATTGTGTCAGATTGTGGGCATTTACAAAATGCACATAACGGTTTTACTGCACGTCAGTCTGCATGCATGATTTGGTCAACATTCAGGAAGAAAATGTAAATGAAAGCCTGAAGAATTTTACCTGGTGTGCAAACATCTGCGACTTTACTTAGCAGAATATGCACTTTCTCATCGGACCAGTCGTGGAGAATCCTGCTAAGGACGTACAGGTCTGCTTTGGGCAGCTCGTCTTTAAAGAAGTCTCCTGTTCAAGCAGAGAGGAGAAGGCCGATGGGTTACTTTGGTATATGAGGGGGCAGGAGACAGCTTCCTGTTCACGATCACACCGGCCCACCTGCGAGGAATGACACCCTGTTGTCTGCGTGCAAAGGATGGAAACGATCGCTCATCTCAACCACCGCTGGCAAGTCAAACACGGTCACAGACATCCCGGGATGGGCTTTGGTAAACTCATAGGCGACGGCCCCAGTGCATCCTGGGAAGAGAAGGGATGATATGTGGAAGAATACTTCATTCCTTTGGGAGACAAAAGTAAAAAGTAAAATACCTTTCAGTTCTTATGCTTACCTCCGAGGTCGCAAGCACTTTTAAACCCGGAGAGGTCAAAGGCCGTTGCTACAGCTAGTGCTGTAACTTTAGCGATGCTGTGCATGGCGTCCAAGAATCTCAGTTTGACTTCTTGACTGTTGGAGGAAGTGTCCTTGGACGTCTTTCCAAATAACTTCTCCCGCTGGCTGGACCCCTCGCTCACGGCGCTCTCGAGGTGGGAGAAGAGAGGCATCACGGCCTCGTTGCAGTAGCGGATGTAAGCGCGCAGCGAGTGCGGAGCGTCCGTCAGCAGAAAGGCAGCGGCCAGACTCGTGTTCTCGAACACCGGCTTCTGGCGCGCTGGGAGGAGAGACACCGTCAAACACCACAGCGGCTCATTTTAAAGCAAGTTGGAAAAGCCTTGGCGCTCTGACTCACTTCTCTCTTTGCTCCTCAACAGTCCCAGAGACACGCAGGCTTCCAGCAGGCACTCGGTGCCCTTCACAGAGGCTTTGATCTGCAGGGCCACCTGCGCGGCATCCAGTCCAGGCCGGCTGTGTAGCAGGTCAAACACACACATCTCCGATGCCGTAAACAGTGCCTGGAACATTTGAGCAAGGGGTTATTTTGAGACGGGTCAAGAATCACATGGATCATAGTAAGAAAGGAACAGTACTGCCCCAACTTTGCTTTTACTAATTGAGATGTTAGTTGGTGAGTTTTAGTGAGGTGCTTTTTTAAATTGAGCTTTATTGTACATATCAATGGGTATTTATCGATCTTCACAGTAACTCTTAGCTAATAAACGCAAATAAGTGGTTGAGTGTGAGAGTCTGTCAGGGCTTGAAATGGTGTAAATACAAATGGGACGGCCCCTTAAAAATATGATGTTCAATTGAGGGTATTTATTTCGTATTCGGTTACCTACCTTTGAGGCTTTGAAGCCATCAATCAGATCGACGATTTGCTGTAGGTCTTCTTTTTTCGGCTCAATGGCGTCTTGCTTTGTCGCGTTGCGCTCGGCCCCTCGCCCCCTGCTGGTCGTTGGCGGTAGCGCTGCATTGTCACAGTCGCTGAGATTGCCCGGGGCCGGCGTGAGCACAGAGGAAGCGTGGCTCGGCCAGAGGGACGTGCTCTCTACGTCCGAGGACGAAGCGCATCGGTTGTAAATACGGTCCAGCTGTTTGCAGAAGTGGTTGAGAGGGAAACCCACAACATTGAGGAAGTCTCCATGTACGTACTCCACCAGCATCCCGCCCAGGGCCTGGATACCGTAGCCTCCAGCCTTGTCCCTGACACACACACACACACACACACCATATACACTTAGATTAACACACAAAACGGTTTATACGTGTGATGACACTCAACCAAACCCGTGGAGAGATGTTTTACTGGGCAAAAACAGCTGATCCTAAACGCAAACCCCAAAGTCCAAAAAGCAGAAGCTTTGTAAACGCTGTGTCCACTAAATGACCTCCAGTTAGCAAATGATTGGTTACTTCCCCACACAAAGAGAAATCAGCAGCTGTCAAACATTTGAAAGCTCAAAGGTTTCTTACTCACATGGGTTCACCGCTATTGATGTACTCCCACAGCATATTATCGGAGAGATCAGCGAACTTCACCTTCGTTTCTTCATAGAATTCAATCGACTGGTAATCCACTTCTTCGTCTGCGGGGGGGGGGGGGGGGGGTTTGAAAAATGAAATGTTATGTCCACTACACCTGAACAGATAAAGGATTCCAGTACACAGAATTAAGAAAATGGCTTTATAATACTACAGTGCATGTATGTACACTTTTCCCTGTTATTATAATTCACTGTATTCTTGTCAGGCATTGAAGAAGATAGAAAAATTACCTAAATTGTTTGACCAAATGCACGTTATAGAATGTGAATTCTGAGCTGTGTATCAAGCGGTGACTCACTGTCTTTCTCATGGCAGAGGACAATAGCTACACCAGTCACCACGCTGTGCTCTTTGCCATTCAAGCTGGAAGAGAAAGGTAAAAGGAACCGGAAAATGTGAAGAACACCTCCAGCTTCTAATGTGAACAACGTTAACCAAACGAACCTCGACAGCATCCTGTAGGCATCGTCTTTGTCCGCCGGCTTCTCCAGAATCATGCCATCTACAGTCTGAGGGGAATGAAAAATCAACAGCCGGAGTGAATGATATGTATCATGTCTATGTAAATAGAGAGTAAGCCCATACAATCTTTGTAAAGCTTTCTTTCTCTCACCACAATAGTGTCGGCTCCGATTACCATGTCTGGAGTCTTCAGATGCTTCTGGAGCAAATGAGGGAATAGCATGTTGACAATAAGTCATTCAATGGGACAATACGTACCGTCGAGCTACAAGCAGCTTAACTGACAAAGGGCATCCTCCTGGCCACCTCCAGGGCCTTCTGCTTGGCCGTCTCTACAGCGTACTCCTGAGGTGCTTTGAAGAGTCCTTTGTCGAGGGTTTCTTTGAACCAGGACGGCACCACTTCAAACCGTAGGCCCTGCAATGGAGGAGTGAATGAATCACTAAAGGAATACTCCAAAAAACTCCTGATTTACAAGCAGACATCAACATTTGACTCCTCTTTTTACATGCACGGAACTGTGATTGAGATGAATAATGTCTGGGATATTAAATATTTGAAATATTTATTTTGTCTGTATTACGAGACCTTTTATTGGTTTTGCTTTTCAACCGCATGTCACAAAGCTGTAAGAACTTTGAAAAGCTTTATCTTCTGTAACGATTATGATTATTATATTATTTGAGCATTTGCTCAACCTGTGTTCACAATAAAATGCGCATTCGTCGAGAGATTTTCCTCTTCGATGAGGAGCTGGTGCTGCCATGCCTTTGAGTTTAACCAGAGGGAAACGTACCGCGTTACTGAGGATCTCCAGTCTTCTGGGAGAAGCACTTGCCAGCACCACCAGTTTTCCGGCGAGCTTGGAAATGACGGGATTCAGCACCATGGCGCCTCCTTTCAGAACCGCCCTGAGGGGGATGAACAGAGTTAACCAGCTCAGATCGAGTCTAGTTTAAGTAAGGAGTCAGCAACGAACTACTCAGACAACTGCAGATATTCAGGAGGACAGATCCATGCAGTGCTGAAAAGATTGCATCGACACAACAATTCATTTTGATAATCATTTAGGTCATTTATACCAAAGGCTCACTGGTCCCAGCTATAAGGATTTGCTGCTTTTCTTAAATGATATTTCTTTTAGATAAAACAAGCATATACAGGCATATCCTATAATTTATTTAACCAGTGTGAACTAATGTTTACCTGTTCTAAAAGTAGTGTTACGACTAGAATAATAAATCCATTACTCCTGTAACGTTGAATACAGTTACAATCACTGCATGCTTTCAATCAGGTTACTGCTTTTATAGACAATGTAACTAATGTCAAAATAATAAGCTTCATCATGTCTGTGGCTTCTATGAACGGTGCAAAAGTGTATAAGCTAACTTAACTAACGTTAACTTAACGACAAGTTCACAACTCTGCTGACGTCATCGCTGATGTTTACACATGAGGTTAGCTAGGAGCTAAGTTCATCGTTGTCACCACGGGTCAACGCACAGGGACGTTCACAAAACTGCTCTCAACGTCGCTCCGTTAAGTTGTTGTTGATAATACAGTGTCGCTCACCTGCTCGTATATTATTTGCTCCAGTCAGGAAACGGTCACAGCTGCATCCGAGCTGGTAACGACTATAAGGACTCCGGCGCCAACGTGACGGCGCTTACGTGATGACGTTATAATCGTAGGCGGATCCTCAATTTGCATCTCTTAAAGCAACAGTACCTCTTATTCTGTGCAGGCTATGAGTAGTAAGCAAGCGCTATATGCCGCTACTCTATCTGTGCCTGCAAAAGTAGTAATACTACCAATTACAACAGCAATGGTACTATCAGACTCTACCTGGACTGAAAGACCAACAAATTGTTGCACTTAGGTTGTACTTTTAATGGCATTTATCTATAGAATATTGTAACTTATTTGATGAAATTGCACTTGTTTCTTGCTCTTGAGTTTGTATTCCTATGGTTGAATACACTTATTGTAAGTCGCTGTGGATAAAAGCGTCAGCTAAATGACTTGTAATGCTCATCATTATTATGATGGTATTATTATTGTTATCAATAATAGCATAATTATGAACAATACATATATGTTGCATTATTAGCATATCCACGATGATGCAATTATAATACCAATTTGAATCATATTGTCAAATAAAATAAAATATATATTTTATGAAAGCATTTATTATATATATTTACAACATAGCTTCTACATTAGTAGAGGAAGAAAAAATAGACAAGAAATGGACTGAAGTTAAAAAAAGTCAAAACATATTCAGCACATTTACAGAGGCATTTCATGGTTAAAATGTTAAAATGTTATAAATCTCTTTTGTTCAAAAACTATAATGACTTGTTGATGTAATTACCAATGCTTTTGAAATACAATAAATGTTTTACATTTTGAGATAACAAATGAAAAATTTAGTAATACGACTCAGCTGCTCTTTCAGCCATTTGTTTTGTGGTGCACACAAAAAAAAAGTGGAAAAATTTGAATGTCTTGACATGACACGCAGAACGTTCCTTTCACTTCCTTTGTCACATCCTTTGTCACATCTGTCTCATTCTTTTTCTCACTCTATGCTCTAGGTGCCATTTATCTGTGTTCCGCCTCTAGACCAACAGTGTTATGTGTGGAGTAAAAACTCTCTTTATGCTCCATCTTCATTGAGTCCATGCTACTCAGGCTACGCAGATTGATTATCCGTCTCAGCTTCTGTCTGAAATCCTTGGAAGCAAAGTAGTAAATGAAGGGGTCGAGGCAGCTATTCAGGCAGCTGAAACAAAGGGACAGTTTGTAGGCCATGTAGAGAGACTTCCCATAGAAGAGTCTAAGCACCGTGTGAATCAACAGGAGGATGTTGCTGGGCGCGAAGCAGAAGGTGAACACCAGGAGAACGATGAAGGCCAGACGTATGGCTCTCGCTTTCTGGGCTGTTTTCGAATTTCTGGCCAGTTTCCGTATGACACTGACGTAGCAGAACGTTGTGACACAGAAAGGAAAGAGGAAGAGGACGAACACCATGCCGAAGAGAAAGAACGCCCAGGCATACAGGTTCGGGAGCATGTCTTTCTTCAGGACGTCAAAGCACGTGGTGATCCCCAGTTCTTGAACGTCAAAGGTCAGGTCCGTGGTCATCAGCGGAGACAGTACGATGAGGACCACGGCCCACATGATGAGGCAGCTCATGACAGCCATGGGCTTCCTAACCCTGGTCTCCTTAAACCGCATGGGCTTCACGATGCCTAGGTAGCGGTCAATTCCGATGGCCATCATGGTCAGAATGGAACAGTACATGTTGGTGTAGAAGACCAGGGTCATGATGCTGTGGATGGATACAGAGAAGAGGAGAGCTTTATTGGATGATTTTTTCTGTCACGATAAAGGGAAAAACCTGTGAGTGTTTTCATGTAAAGATATCAGTTTATATGTCACTGATAAAGAAATATATCAATATGGCACACACAAAAAATCCTTTGGATTTTGAGAATCCAAAAAGCAGAACTGAAAAAGAAAACAGAAACAGCTCTTAAAACATTGGGACACCAGGCAAACACATCTACGTGACAGTGTGGACAGTAATTGTGGGAAGATTCACATTGATGGTCCATCCAGCCATCCATCCATTGTCAAACCGCTTATCCTGCACACAGGGTCGCGGGGGGCTGGAGTCCATCCCAGCCAACTTCGGGCGATAGACAGGGTACATCCTGGATTGGTCGCCAGCCAATCGCAGGGCTACACAGAGACACACAACCATTCACACATCTACGGGCAATTTAAAGTCCCCAATTAACCTGATCCCCAGAGCATGTCTTTGGACTGTGGGAGGAAGCCGGAGAACCCGGAGAGAACCCACGCAGAGAACATGCAGACTCCACACAGAAAGGCCACTGGGCGGAATCGAACCCAGGACCTTCTTGCTGTGAGGCAACAGTGCTAACCACCACGCCACCGTGCTGCCCCCACGTTGATGGTGAGAAGATAATTTTGTAATGACGTCCGGCTCTGCTATGACGAATCGCATGGGTTCCACCACTTTTTTTGACCGTCTGATCCTATTGGATTCGACGAACAACAGGCGGCAAAGAAAGACAGCTCTCGTAGCCTCAAACGCCAAAGTAGTAGTAGTAGAGTGAAATGAGTGACAATTATCTTAGACCCTCCCCTAACCCCGAAATTGCTTGTGATGCGCATACAATGGCCGCTGCACATTTATCCTAATGTGTCATATACACACACACACATGAAATGCTTACATGCAAACAACTGAAAGATGTATAGTCTAGATGTATAGAATAGATCTATTCAATGGGTTTGACACATTCAGTGGTGTGCTCTTATCTTGATGGTCTTACACGCCACCACCGAATCTCTAGTATACACGCACACTGCCGAGTAATGACTTGACTGTGTTTTTTGGAGGTTCGACCGCAGTGCCACGAGGCCGACAAACCGGCCGGTGCTGACGAACGGATCGCCGCCTTCCTGTTGACACACCGTCCGCACAAACGTTGCTTAAACAACTAACTTCTCGCCTGAAAAAAAACACATTCAGTGATTTAAACATAGAAGTCCGGTCATAAAAGCATATTAACGAAGGGCGTAGGATTGGCGCTATTCTACGTAGTTTGGTCCGCCATCTTTTATTTTTGCGCTCTTTAGACGTGAGCATGAACGCGATCTGATTGGCTGCTGCCTGTGATGTCGTATTTACATGAAAGGTGCAGTGAGTGAAGCTTGAGAGCTGCTGTGGGAAGATGAATGTGTGTGATGTGCACTGAAAGATGACGTCTTCTCCATCAATTTATCCGTTCGCTACAATATGTTGGATTCATGTTAATGTGTATTCAAAGACAATAAATACAATTCTGATGCTGAAGACATTTAAATTTGACCCCCCTGCAGTACCTGTGCGGACCCCCTGGGGGTCGCGGACCCCGTGTTGAAGACCTCTGCACTAGTGAGATGCTCTTATACTAGTGAGATTACTCGTGTGAGTACATGTGAAACGCTTGCACATCCTCATGTAGGAGCACATACATATAACTGAAAAACTTATACATCATATTAGAAACATTTATATAGATATATGTGAAACACTTTTTATATATTTGGAATCATATGCAAGAGATTCAGTCATGCATGTATGTGTAAGTGTTCAACATGTATGTATATATATATATATATATATATATATATATGGGGAGCAACGATGTGGAGCATTAGCATTCATTCCTGATGAGTACACGATAATCCTGTTGTACGTTGGTTCTGGCTCGGTTAGGCGACCCTCGGGCTGAACACTGGAGACGGAGGTAAACCCTTGACATTGTCTGATATGATGTGTTCAGCTTTAGAGGGGCTTGCGATCTTGATGCTAAGCTGAGTTGAGCTAACCTGTCTTTATATTGAGCAAACAGACGTAAGAGTGGCATCTCTCTCTCTCTCTCTCTCTTTTCAATTTCTTTGCAAGACATCAAATAACTGTACTTCTGGAAATGTCAAACTATTCTAACTGGTGGACTGTGGATTTACACCGAGTAGCTGTGAAAATCACTCAATAGCACACGGCTAACACCTTCTTACGAGTACCTGCACATCTTTGGTCCCAGATTCCAGTGGTATCCTTGGAGCTGGTAGGCGATCTGAAAGGGCAGGGCGGCCCCGAGGAAAATGTCGGTCAGGGTGAGATTAATCATAAAGATGATGGACGGGGTCTTGGGGTGGGTGCGAAAGACGAGGAGCCACATGGAGAAGCCATTTCCTATCAAGTTAATGGCAGTGACCACCATATAGATGGCCGAGATGGCGATGCTGGTGTGTACATCCAGGAACAGGGCCCGGGTGGCGTTGTCTAGCTTGAAGCTGGTATTCCCCGTCATGACTGGATGGCCACGGATTCCCAGTGCCTGCGAGAGATCACCACCGGTTTAACAGACGTGTGGTGCACCGGTTATTTTCCACAGAAAAATACGTGAGTCTAATCTATAACATCTGATTACTTTGTAACATTTAAAAGAAAAGGATGTGAATGCGCGTGATCCAAAAAGTGTGAAACAGCACTTTTTGTGGAACAGGCACTTTCTTTGCATTGCGAGTAGCACGCGAGCGAGGTGGAGTTTTCACACAGGAAGACCACATGATGGATTTGTGGTGAAGATTGCAAACTGCCGTTGTGCTTCAGCTGTGTAGCAGCGGCACCTGAACATGTAGTAGGAAGTAAACTCTTAACAGACGATGATGCTATCATCTCATGCCCAACTGCATTTTACCGTGGGAAATTACACTTAAACACAGTAAGCGACACATGGGGAAGTTGCCAAGTTTCACGTTGAAGTCACATGTTTAGCTTAGCCAATTTGGGGTGTACTCCACCAAGCGATGCCGTACAACTGGACTTTGCTGATCAAAAGTACAGTATGTTTATTAATAGTAAATATTAAATAACCGACACGTGAAGTAGTGTAGGCCATTTGGAGTCAATATTAAACACGTGTTATCTCAAGGTAAACACCTGTCCTGGCAAATGTCATTCAAACACTCACCTATGAACACGGAGGCAGGAGAAGGCAACGGCTGTGTCGATTGTAACTGAAGGAGACAATACTGTTGTGACTGACAAAATGAGATTGGATAAGATAGAGACAGGGAGAGAGAGAGAGAGGAAATCATGTGACAGCATCCATCCTACCAGCTGCTGTTAACAGCCACGCGTCACATTCAATCCGGTCTAAAAAATCCCCACGTGCTTCCAGCATTACACACACATTTACTCATCATGGTGATTTGCACCTCCTAACTTTATTAATTTAGGAGTTTTCATGATTATTATTATTGTTAACTTTGCTTATAAATTACAACTCCAATGTCATTAACTCTACCTGAACAACGGGGTGAGACTCACTGTCAGTCGTTTCCTCGCCATGACGCATGTGGGAAGAGAACCTGAGATACTTCTCAATGCAACGGCGGTCAGATTTCATCACAAAGAATAAGGTTTTTATGAAGTGAAAAACCTGTTTATTACAACCTTTTGTCCACAAGCGGCTTCCTGTTGATCGTGATAGTTCTGCTTTTTTAAGTGATTTTATCACGGGGCTGTCAGCGGTGAGCTGGTGCGAATAATGCAACACGTTACCATACGATTCGCATGTGTTTGGGCAACAATAATTGACTCATATCTGCCGTTTGTGAATGTGTACTCAGGGCGCTGCTGCAGATCAATGCCGCCTCACCCAAACCGTCAAAATAACAGATACACCGATTTAGTCTTTTATACCACAGCTTTATTTTCTCACAACTTCAAGAAAAAAGCTTCATGATAATAGATGGAAGACAAAAAAAAAATATATAAGGCTTGATCAACAAACTTATCATTTTATCAACACGTGTGGCTGTTTTGATTTATGTTTAATTGTTAGAATTGATAGAAAACAATGCACACATTATAGAAAAGCAATAGTTTTAATTTATCTGTGTACCAATAAGCAACTTTAAATTGTATTTCTAGGAAATGCTTCATCTTTACGTAGATATTATGTTCTTCTTGGCTCATGGGTGGTCAAGTACAAAGCTTTGCTCACAAATAAAAGACTCTACACACAAAAATACACACAGGATTTCATCTGTGAATTATTCTACATACATTTTTCGCATGTTGTACCATATTTTACATTGATAAAATCTATAGTATTATTAAACATCCAGGTTCAGCGGAGTCCACAAAGGCTTAGGAACAAGATGTGTTGCAGAGGTCATGGTTTCACCAAAACATTGGTGATGGATACGTCAAGAGAGCGGCCTCAGGGACACACTTCAGATGAGCAAAAGGAAAGACACTGGACTGTGTGACACTGACTGCTTGTGCTATCATTAAGGTAACCATCATTATTATATCTGCCAGTATTGGATAGTGTGTGTGTGTGTGTGTGTGCGTGTGTGTGTGCGTGAGTGAGCATCTCTGTGTCTCGTACACTGCAGCCTGATCTTTGTTGACCTCTCTTGGTTGCAATGATTCATACTTTTCTATATTTATGTATGTGCTAGGTATGTGCTACTGCATGAATATATGTTGGTATGTACTGAATCTATCTACATGAAGGCATGTATATAAATGCATGTAGATTTGTATATCGCATGTATGTGTGTATGTACAGTACCCGTCAACTGTACGGCAATTATGTACTGCATGTATGTACACATAAGCATGTACTGCATGCATGTATGTACAGTCAAAAGTTTGGACACGCTTTCTCATTGAATTAAATAAGAAAATGTCACACCAGGGAGAAGGTGTCTGTTAAAGGGGGGGATTTGTTTTTTTTATCCAATCAGCACTGGTCTGTCCCGACAAACCTGGCGAAGATCTGCACTTAACTAAGCTTGCAAAGGTTCCTCTCTGTTCTCGGTATTTTCTATATGGAGTCTTTGAATACCAAACAGTGAGTGAAAATATTTAGCGAGTACTTCAAACTCAAAACCAAACATTCACAGTTTTGATGTCTGTTACACATAATAAAGATGCAAACGGTTAAAGGATTTGTTTGCTTTTGAAGTGCTGTTTTCCCTCAATTTATTTTCTTAATCCGCCATCAACTTTGGATAAATTTCTATTTTTAGTTTTGGTTGAACAAAGATCCAGATTGCTCACTGTTCATCTTTGCTCTGCTCAAAACCCTTCTCCAGGCCCGTAGCCGTAGCAACCGCCTCATAGCAGTGCTCCGTCCCGCCTTCAGGGGAGTGGCCCACCGGGATGCACTCAAAGCTTTTGCCGGCTGAGCTCATGCGCTTCCTGTTGCGCGCTCCTGGCTGATAGAGCTGCATGGCCGGACGGTCCTGCAGGGAGACAAGAGAGCAGAGACATGGGAGAGACTAATAGCACACGTTTTGAATATGACTCCATTTATATATGTATTCATATGTATATGTATACACATGTTTATTCTTCTTCTTTACCCACTTACTCACGATCACACAGGGCTGAAGTGTATCCCAGCATGCACTAGGCCGGCCGGTTCAGAAAGCAGCCTTTTGAACGTTCAAATGCGTTTCATTCCATATTCCATCAGTGAGTGGATGTAGAGTAATAACGATCGGTTTATAACCTAGAGCTTTTCTTTAAAGCAAATAGTCTGATTTGTAATATTTTCTTTGTTTATTGTTCTATGAGCCACTTCCACTGAAATGTATTATTGCTATTTCAGATACGCTCTCACCTGGTTTGATGTTCATTTTGGGCATAATGTGTTTTGGCTTGCCAGTTCCGTTCAGGCACAACGTCCACGTGGACTCAAGGACGGGCGGATATACGATTTTAGTGGTCCGAGGTCAGTGAATTTACACGCTAAATATGACAATTCTAGTGTCCAAGAAGTGAAATAATGATCATTTGTACAGATGTTGCAACTTTCTTGGGTCTCTGTGGGGTTGAGATCCTGTAGTCAAGTATCGAACACTTCCCCTCGTAGTTGTGAAATAAAATGTGATGAAAGTGAAAACCATAGTGTTTGCGGCCGACGTTTTAAGTGCTAAGATAAAAGAAAGGTCACTGTCAAGCGGCGAAGTGCTTGACAGTGACCTGCACGCTGACGCCCGGGCCCGACAGCGACCGTTTCCATGACACAAACACACTGAAAGCAAGGAAACAAGATGCCTCGGAGCTGATGATTATTATCTGTAAAAAACAAAACAAACATCAACCAACATCTTAACCACAGTGACGACTTCCCCCCCCATCTCATGCTCACCTTCTCGCTCACCTTGTTTCGGAGGCGTTCCTTCCGGTTCGCCAGGTCCTCCCTGTCCTCCTTTCCCAGTTTGTCTCCCCCGTCGGGGCAGTAGGAATAGCCATGATGGTGCCCCTCTTTCTTGGCCCGGTCCTGGCAGTAGCCCTTCCCCCACTTGGTCTCGTCTTTTCGGCGCATGAACTTTTCAAACTCGTAGTGGTGCCGCTGGCGTTTCCTCTCCTCGTCCTTCCCCCGGTGGTCCTTGTCTCTCAGTCTGCGGCCGTGCTGCTCGCGCTGCTCCTTGTCGCTGTCAGGCTGCCCTCTGGTGGTCAGAGCGGAGATTGCATGGACACCAAATATATCATTGTTACTCAGAGCCAGATGTGATGATCACAGCAAGACGGGTTTTCTTTTCTATCATAAAACGTAGATGTACATTGAAGATTTTTGTTAAAGATGATGGTCTGCAAAAAAAGGTTTTAACAAAGTACAAAAAGGCTTTTTTCAACAGGCTCAGCTGGTGCATGGCACCTCCAACACTGATACTTTTCTGAATATTTTGTTTTCATTTCATTTTAACGTAATTATTAGCATGCATGCATTGACTGAATTAAAAACCAGTACTGCACAGACGACTTTCACAAGTTGTCAAATACTTTTACATCCATTAAAGGATTTTCCAGTGGGATTTATTTTCCATCTTATGTCACATTGCATCCTGTTGGAATTGCGGATTGACGCACCCGATTCACTCCACACACCCCAGCTTACTTTTCTTTGGGGTCCTTTGACTTTGTTTGTCCTCCAGCTTTCTCCCATTTGCATCTGTCCGTCTCGCCGACGTCACTTTTATCCTTGATTCGGTCTGAATCCACGTCGTCATCCCTGTCACTCTTCTTCAGGAGCTGGATGTGCAGATACAAATTGCGTTGTTGCACCATTGTACCACCAATGAACGGATGAGTTTCTAAGCGGAGCGTCACCTTGATTTTGATGTCTTTGTCGGACAATTTCTTCTGCTTCTCCGCCTCCTTCCGTTTGCGTCTCTCCTCCTCACGCCGCTTCCTCTTCTCCTCCTCCCGTTGTCGTTTCTTTTCCAGCTCCCTTCTCCTCCTCTCCTCCCTCTTCTCCTCTCGTATTCTCTGCGAGAAGAGATGTGGTGTTTGGACATAGGATTCTCCAAAGTAATTCAAATACATTCAATTTGAGCATTTGTCATTTTTCACCTGTTTCTCAATTTTCTTATTTTTGATGTACTCCAAAAGCGGCGTCGTTCTTTTGGCTAAAATCGGTCAAGAGAGGAAAAAAAATCAAATTTGGGTAGAAGGAAGTATGTTTTTGAATCCCTTTAAACCTGATTCCTAATCTTTCTGGTACTGTACCTATGAGCTCTCTGGTCTTGGCCTCTATCTCTCCCAGCAGAGTCTCTGGATTGGCCATAGATTTCTCCTCATCACAGGAGTAATTCTCCAAGAACCGCTTATACTCGGCGTCTGAATGGGGTTTAAGATCCAGAATGAGTGTCTAATCTGGTGTGATGTCTATTTCTCTGCATGTCAGTTGTTGTTGTTGTTTTTTTATTAATGGCTAAAGTATTTCAGCACCTTCCTCAATGCTCCCGGTTTTCACATCTTTCTTTTTCAGCTTCTTCTTGGAGATTTTCTGGAAGGGGGCAAACTCCACCACCGCCGGATACTCCTGGCCTGAGCAAATATTGAAGTAAAAGGGAGCTCATCATATAACTGAGGTCTGATATCAACAGTAACAATGGCAACAGAAGCACAAAGCCGCTCCGGGGACCCATTAAATCCAGTCTGCAGCTGTTAAACAAACACATGTGTGAAAGAGCTCAAACAGAAATACCCTTGTTGTCGATGAAGACGTAGCCATCAAATCGGTCCCTGAACAGAAGGATGTCTTCAGGGTTTTTGAAATTGATGTACGCTCTGGAGAACAGGTGGGGATAAAGACTGTCGACAGAGAGACAGAGAGAGTCATAGAGGTTCATAGGTGAGGCAAAAACACTAAGATGCGGTGCCATGCGCATGAATGGAGCTCGCAATTGGGCAAAGCGGTGATTGTGATTACCTTTGATCTGCTGGAAAGAACTCAAAATAGTCATAAGACGGAAGTGGACTGAGCAGCTCCTCTAGCTGCTCCTTTGACAGGCTGGGTGGAAGCCTGCGAATCACCACCTGTAATCCATCATATGGTTTCTTCAGGTCAGCAGAAGGCACTTTGTTAATCATCAAGATTACTAAGTTTCTCTCCCAAAAGCACGGCTCAGTTTTTTTATATCTGTTATAAAGACCTTAATTCCAGATCTCAAACACATATCAGAGATTTTTAGGAGGGGGAAAAGTCCAGCTCGGGTTTAAACTCAAGAGGTAAGGTCACTTGCATAATTAGACCTTATCCTGAAAGATTGATGAGTTGGATATAGTGAATTTGATGAAAGGAGCGTACCACAAACTGCAGCTTCACACACACACACACACACACACACACACACACACACACACACACCCTATCTCTTTAACTCTGAGACCCTGATGATGGGGCGATTATTACCGGCTCATGTGATGGTAAAATGACTGAAGGTAGCTTTTAAAAACTACACCCTTGACCTTTAACAAAGGGATTCGAATTTACAGAGTCGGTCTGACGGACTGTAATGACATTGCCATTCCATCTTTATTCAAGGCCTTAAACAGATCAGAGAAGTGCAACACAGATAAAAATAAGCAAGTCAATGTTTGTTTTTTTAAATGCAGTGTAGTACATTGTATAAATTGACTGATTTATGAGGTGGAGTGAGGGTGCCGGTGTTGGCCGACAGGTCTCTTTTCCGTCCTCCTCCCGGTCGCTGTCCGCGGTGCTGAACGCTGCGCGCCTTCCCCTCCATGTCCGCGTGCCCGCGCAGCGTGTAAACAACACCCACCTTAGTGAAAACCTCCTTCTTCTCCTCTTTCTGCTTCAGGTTACCCGGAAGGTTCTCCTGCTCCCTCGAGGCGTCGCTGAATTGTATCTCCACGGCGCTCTTCTCCTTGCCCGCGGTCATTTGGTCCTTTTCAGACCTCATTTCTCTCCATCTCCTTCTTGCCCGTGTTAAGTCGCCGTAAGCTCGCGAGAGTAGGAGAGTATCGCGAGAGACGGGATTTGACATCCTGCCGCTCAGATCCTGCTTCCATAAAGTGATACTCATATATTCACTTTATATATAATACATTGTATAGGGTGTGCAACGAAAAAATGAAATCAATCACATGGTGTATTACAAAATATAAAGCATTTTACTTTTATTTTTTTATTGCAATTGCTTATTCTTTGTGATCGGTGTTATTGTTTGTAACTAACTTCTTAAATGTTGATCGTAGCACGAATGATTTAATCTCAAGGTCTCTCCTCGTTGATTAAAGGTTGCATTTGAAATGAACTACTAATAAACAACCGGCCTGGTAAGTTTATTCGTAGTAAATTTCAACAACAGGGCAATCAAAAGTGCTTCAGATAAAACCATAAAACCCACCAGAACAAGGCAAAGGAATTATACATTTAACAACCAATTAATAACTTTGATTTAAACAATAACAGAAATTAAAACAATAAACAAGCCAACAATGGAATAAAAGTTACAGTGCCGGTTAAGAACTAAAACAATGTCCATTAGTATCAGCGGTTAAAGCGGAGTGCAATGCATTTTAACAAATGTATAAAGCCGTTTAACTATAAAGTGTTGTCTCAACCATTCATTATACTCCATAATATATTTGATGGCCCTGCTACAGTTGCTCCATCACACATGGGATATAATGCTTTCGTTCTGAATCAAAGGGCAAATATTATATCCAAAGGCGTATTTCAAAATCTATTTCTGATGTCCTCGGTGTCCTCGCGTCTCAGGCGGTCCAGCAGCCCACGGTACCCCTGTGCAGGTCCCCAGCCGGGCTGCGGTTCTTGGTGCTCCGGTGACCCGCTCCGGGCGCTGAGCTCCAGGATTCCAGGGGGGAGGACGGGCTCACTGCCCGCCCTGGGACGCCTCGGCGGGGAACTGATGGGAATAAAATAAATAAGAAAAAGGCGCAACGAAACTTTTCAAATTGTACATGTGTTTTATCTTCACTGACAATAAACTTACCATCGAGGAAGGTTTGCCTCACATTGCTGGTCTCCTCACACGGCCCAGGTCTCTCTGGGGTCGACACGCAGCTCTTCAAGCTGGGAACAAAAGTGGAGCAGGTGTCCAGGTCCGGGCACACCGGGTCCCGGGTGTAAACCCCCGCCGCCTTAGACTGAGTACAGCCCATCTCTGCAGGAGCTACAGACGCTGTCAATTGGTTAAAAAAGGGTGAACTGTAGGTAAGATGAGGGAGGGAAGGATGGAGGGCAAAGACAGCCCCCCCCCCCCTTAAACCAGGGCAGTTTCACAGTACGTGGAATTGTTTTTTTAGGAGGGGTCCTGGATTTGAAACGGTTAATTCTGGATTTTACGCCAAAGCTTCGGTGCACGTGAACACAGCACGGGATCCGATTTCACTAACAAGTGTTGGACATTATAACAACCCTGTTCAACCACTAATGTGAGCGTGATTACCTCATCATCTCCATGACACATTGTACGAGAATAGAAACAAACCATAATGGAAAATTGTCCTGTTTGTTCAAACAAGTAGTTCAAACACCTACTGCAGCACATTGGCACAGGAGGGATAAGAGACGTTTACAGCAGCCAGGCTGAAAGCTTCGAAAATAATAGCACTCATTTAAAAAAAAAGGTTTGATAAGGATATGGAGGGATCCTTGGAGAGCTTCATCTGTCTTTATTTCCAACCACTGCTAAAACGCACAGGTCATGAAGACCTGCAGGGTGACTGAAGAATGTGTGCAGAGTGTCTGCATGGATGCAGCAGACAGATAATGTTATCAAATATGTTTACATTTAGTCCGTGTACAGTGTGCTTTATCTGTCACTATGGAAGTCTCTGCAGTAAAAAGGACTATTAATTCCTTTGTTTTTACTGCAGCGACTTAATGAAAACTATTTTTGTACTCGTTGGTATCTGCAACGTATTAGGTTTTTAAAAACGTATGGTGCAAAAAGCCCAGATGAGATATCGTGCACAATTTAAGTTGGTATGAACCTTCAGTAACTGAGTTGTGCTTCTAGTTACGGCTCAATAGAAAAGTGAAGATGTACGTTAAAAGTCACGGGTGATCTGAAGTGAAATGGGAGTCATCAACAGCTTCAGCTCACGTTCCCCAGCTTCTCCAGAAACGCTTGTGTGCACGGGTCAGAGCGCCCGTGTGCGGGTGGACATTCTGCAGAAAGGGTTTTTTTCACGTGTGTTGCCTTGTTGTTATGATGGGCTCATGAGTTTCACCTTACTTCTGACTAACACAAAATACAGGTATGCTTGAATGGTTTAAGATTAACGCATGGTTTATTAGAGGAATCGCCCAGAAATGTTATTCAGCTGGCTCTTTATTTACCGAGCAGATCCACAGGTGGAGGTGAGCAACACGGAGGGTCCCGCCACAGGCAGAAATAAGTGACTCTCGAGGTGTGCGGCTGTGTTTGCTCCCAGCGTCCCCCGGGCTCCACCCGAGGTCCAAGTACTCAACCCCTGCACCCAGGCACATGTTAATTCCCCCTTTAAAGTGAGTCTTCTTTTGAAAAAGGAATACAGCAGGCGCTGTAATCGACCCACACTCATAATGTTCACAACGGCATGTCCTGTGTTTTGTCACTCACAGGGACAACCACACTTAATAAACAAGAAGGAGACTCCACAGGAAACCATCGGTGGAGGACACGTGCCAGAGTTCTGGTCATGTGGACGTCTACGACAACCGCTTGCTGGGACAGTTGCGACGGGCCGACGGGATGAGATCACGTGCTGGCGTCCGACAACGTGTCCAACATCATGTCGCTCTCGTACATGTCGCACTCGAGCGTCAGGGAGAGTCGCAGAGGCGTCTCCAGCATCATCTTGTCCTGATTCGACAGCGGCGTCTCCAGGGACCCGATGCTGGCGTCTTCCTGCCTGGGCGTGGCTCCGGCTTCTCCGGCCTCCGACGTGTTGAGCATCTTAATCAGCGCCGGAGTGTTCAAGCCGCCTCGCACCTTGTCGTTGATGTCCGTGCCTTTTGTGGAGACAGACGACGACACGCGTGAGACATTAGAACATTTGCAACAAAGAGGAAAGCTAGAAAAGTTTAACGATATCTGTTGAGGATAAAAAATAGTTACCAATAAGGCTAAAGAGGAACTGACTTTGAGATATCACTGTTCCTTTTTAACTCAGCCTGATAAAAAAGGCCGAGCACTAAAACCCTGAATAATGAAACGGTATCAAAAATCCTTCAACGTGCAGAACAGCGTGTCCTACCTATGTAGGCATCCGTGTCCCCGATGTACATCTCGATGCAGTGGCCGAGCATCGTCACAGAGAAAGTGTCGTCCCTTTTCAGCCCGAGTGCCTGCACAGAAGGAAGCCAAACAGACTAAAAACCTATTGCTTGACAGAGAGAATAAAAGAATAATGCATCACAAGCTTTTATGTTACCTCTCATGCATTTAGTACCACATCACAAGACCTACTACACAATAAATGTTGGTGGTATTTTGGCCGGTGGTGTTTACTTGCAATGAAGTCTTAATGTTTAATTAGTATTCTAAAAAAACAAATTGTGTCCCTTCAAAGCTCTGATATTTATGGTAACTTATTATCCTTTTGGCAGAGTAGACCACAAATCCTTTGTAAAGGCAATTCTTACAAAAAACTGATGATTCAAGGTTTTAAGTAAGAAAACAAACCCCCTGGATCAAAGAGAATGGCCCCTTACCGTGTGAAAGTAGTCGATAGCGCTCTCAAAGTCCCCCATGAGGCTGTGCACGTATCCTATGGACGAGTAGGTGGAGGCGTGCTGAGGAATTAACACCAGCGCCTGGCGGTGGTACTCCAGAGCCTGGTCGTACTTTCTATGGAAACAAACACCGCAGTGTATCAGGTCTGTATCAATGGATCCATCTAAACAATAAACAAACGACATTTGATCAAATGGTACATTTGAAGGATCTGGAGGACTGTTTTCTACCAAAGACAAATTCATCTATATATCTTGCATATAGTGTTTTTTCTTTTAAACTATGGCATGTGAGCAATTTTGAAATGTGTGCCTTTTGGAGGCAATCAGTGCACCAAAACCGTGGGAAAAGAAACCACACTTTATGGGGGGGGGTCTGCGGTGCAGAGTTGTCATATCAGCACATATACAGCGGTGTTTCCATTTTCTTTTTTAGATTTTTTTTAGAGGAATAGAAATTGGTGCATGCACGCACAAACAACCTTCACTCCATGCAGATGAAACCTTTGTATTGTTGTGTACAAAAACTACCGTGGCCTTTCTAAACAACCCCTTCTGCACACGATCTGCAGACACCCTTATATCTATTGAATGGTGGTTATGCATAATTCATTAAAGGGTCTTTTCATGAATTCCCAATGAGGGCTCTACATTCTGAATGATTGCAGCAGAACAAGCGAGCACATTTCTGAAAATAGCATGTAGGAGGGAGGTGAGGGAAAAATAATATATAGAGGGGCACGAACAAATGAGAACAGAGTGCACTCAACAACCTTCTTTAAAAACCTAGAGTGGATAATATCCCAATTGGGATCAATTTGTCTCCCAATATTAAGTGCCATATGTGCTGTTCCACTCCACCGTCACGCCAATTTGAGACCATTCAATCAAGTTCAAAATCCGTACTCACTTCAATTTTCGACACACGTGACCCAAGTTGTTTAACAAAGGCTCCCATTTGTCCACAGTCACCTAAAATTTTAAAAGAAGAACCGCAAAAAGCGTAAAAGATTTATTCCTAGTCACGTTTTAAAGTCATCGGTCATTCAAAACCGTTTTAGTGAAATAAATGAACAGTTACCTCGTTTCCTATGGCTTTGATCTTCTCCATTGCATCAAGGAACAACCTCTCTGCGGTCTTCCAGCTGAAGCAACAGATGTGAAAAACAGATCATATCATTTTTTTTACATACAAGATAAACTGTGGTTAATCGAATATGGTGCCTTACGAGTTGCACAAAAGAGTGTGTCTGCATGATTTCCTAGCTTTAATGTGGTGACACAATGTGGTAAAAATGACACAGACTTCATAAAAAAGGAAGGAATTTCATATCTTTTTTATGGTTTGAGATATTTCTGCCATCGCAATATAACTGGCAATTGTTATTCATAGATATTAAAATCCCCACAAACTGTCCTCCAGTAATCTGTTCAAACCAGCTTTAAAGATTACCACCACTGTGTGCAAACGTCCCTTTTTACGCTGCCTTTTGTCCATGTGGAGGCCCTACGTGTGGTGGCGTGTGTTCGGGACTCTATGACTCACTCTCCATTTTGAAAGGCAACCACGGCCACCTCGTGAATGACGAACGGGTCCTCTGGAGCGATGCTGAGCGCCTGGCTGAAGAAGCGCTCGGCCAGCTTGGAGTTGTTGGTCAGACCGTACTCCAGGCCGATGTAGAGCATGGGTAAGTGACACCTACATGACAGAAGGTCATTATAAACGGCTATATGTATGGTATGTCTACGGCACAAAAGGTTATTACAAGTGTAATATGTGGAGACGAGATCTCCAAGGCGGTCAGTGATCAACTTACCCTTTCATCAGCTGAGCAGCCGTGAAGTAGGCAGCCATGGCTTGGTCATGCTCACTCTCAACCGCAAAAGAATGGCCGTATGCGATCCAAGCAGGGCCGTACGTCCTCTCCAGCGTTGTGGCTTTGCTGCAAGAGACATGCAATATTCCATAATGTGCATAACGACAGCAAAAGATAAAGATAAAAGACAGGTCCTTTAAAAGGGTGTGATTGAATACCTGAGGTAGCGCCGAGCGTGCTCATTTTTATGGCCGACCATGAGATAGTAACACCCGACAGCGAACCACGACACCTGATAAAGGTTTGTGCTGGTTATCAAATGGAGCGAATTATGTAAATAATGTGAGGAAAAGGCTGCAACACTTACTGGGTTATTGGGATACAAGTCTACGAGTTTGTGCGAGAGGTAAAACAATTCTGCAGAGGAAAGAAAACAACACTGAGCCAATATACTGATGGGCAGGCTAAGCAATAAGACGAAACTAAGGAAATGGTATTTTACCGTTTGCTTTTCCAAGCTCCACCAGAGTCCCTATGTGGACTGGCAAACAGTTGGCATGGAAGGGGTCTTTAACCATCACCCTGAAATACAAACAAAGACACATTGAGTGCTGGAGCCTTTTTATAGACACTTTATCTCACTTGTTCATCCCTATGCAGAGTGGAATCCAATCATAGGTTAGATAACCAACTAGGACTTTTTTTTTTTAGGTTTAATGTTGAAATCAATCACAATCACACCTATTCATAGATGCTCATTCGTCAAAACCCCTTTCTGTAGCTGAGGTGCAAAGCAGGCTACAGTACATACAGAAGGGAGATCTTCTCATTACGCCACCAACAACAACAGAACAAGCAAACACCTACATTGACGTGAGTTTGTAGCACATCTTGAAATCACAGTTATAATAATGTCTTTCGGCAAGAGACACCACCACATCCAAGTTGTCCTGAAGACCATTGACCATCTCTGGCACCACCAAGTCACTAGGCTTGTTATACTGCAGAGGGAAGGAAAGGAGTGTGTGAGAAAGGTGCGTGAAGGGTGTAAATATGAGCAGAAGTGAAGGTCACGAATGAAAGAGTTGAAAGGAGAGTGATGCTTTGGACTAACTGAATATCAGTAGTTACATTTACATTTTCCAACAAATGTTTACTGTCTAAAATGAACCCCGAAGCTCTGCAACACCAGAGAGCAACATGTGGTTGTTATGTTGTTTCTATTAACTAAAACCCTAAAGATATGGCAGGAAGATGTATTCAAAACAACCGCATGTTCATTTGAGCAAACAATAGAACAAATGATTTAATAACACAGAGGAATAATTTAAAGTTTTAACAGGGTTGGTTTACAAAGACAACAGTTTTTGGTCAAATAAATTCATTGTTGGTTTTGGTCATTTGAAAGCATAAGCAGACAATAAAAACATGTAGGAATCATTCTGCTTATTCTTCAAAAAAATGACTGAAAATGAAGAAAAAACAAGAATGCAGAGTACCCTACCTTCTTTAACTTATTCTCAAACAGGAAGTGTAGGAGCTCCTCCTCTTCTTCCGTGCACTGTTGACTCAGAGGAAGTGAGTCCAGGAAGTCTTTTTCTATTTACAAAACACACAACATGTTTCACATACATCACTCTTCAAGGTTTGCAAAATGATAATGAACATCCTATCTGTAGAAAATCAACAGGGGCAACACAATGTCAGAGCGCACATCCCCACAGATCAGCCTCACCCTCCTGCGCGGTCAACATGTGGTGGGACGTCAGAAGGTCAAAGGCTTCAAAGCAGTAAACGTCCAGTTTCAAGGCCTCTTTATAACTCGAGGTGGCCAGCGGCCGGTTGTCCATGGCATCATAGATCTTACCCCGCAGGAGGCAGATGGAGCTGTTGACCTGCACAAGTTTAGAGAGGTAATAGGAACAGAAAGAGCATTCAGCAAATTCCTATACCATTACTCATAATGGTACTGTTTCAGCTCCATCTGCGGCATTAACAAGACCAGACCTGGTCAGCATTCAGAAACAACGCTCACCTCCTAACATGAATTTCATGGAGATGAGTCCATACAAGAATGACACCAAAAGAAAAAAAATACATACATACAGAAAACAGCACCGTGCACAGGCCTAGTGGTGCTTTACTAAGAGGCGACTGTACATGACTCCACAGCTGGGACTGCTAGCGTGGAGTACTTCGTTTTGTTAAAACCAAAATAATTTCATTGTCAGGCTCATTAAGCCGGCAAATATATGTATACATAAGATTTCCTCGTGAATCAGGTTAACACGGCAAAGAATTAATCCACAACAAAAATCTTATGTATAAATATATTTGCCGGGTTCATGATTCTGACAATGAAATTATTTGGGTTTTAACAAAAATAAGGCCAAGTACAGTAGCGACGGTAACTTCCATTTGGAGTGAAAGGATGAAAAATTGGAGGGAAATGAAGACGCTGTAGAGATCTCTACAAAACTAAAAACATCACATCAAAGATGTTTTATTGCTAAGACCACGACATCACTTTTTTCCTCTTTGTCTCACTTTAATGTCAGAAGCGCTGGCCGGCCAGTTGACCACCGTCCTAAAAAACCCTCTTTGGATCTACACAATTCACATGTATGACGTATTTTGATTTCACAACGGCGCATTTTGCCAAAAAGCAACAGGTTTACAGGTCTGCTTCCCTGAGGTCTTAGTGCTTTCTGATGGTGGTTGTTCCTGCACTGATCGTGCCTGACCCTCAATATTTGAATCATTTCTGTCTTATGCATTGAACGTATGGTTTTATTTATTGCAGTCTGTCCAGTTAGGAGTGGGCTCTCTCACTTATGTATAATCTATTTTCTCCCTGTTTTATTTTTATTTATGGGGGAATCCATCCTGTGCCATCATGAGTGTTTCGGGACAGAGGATGTTGCATGTGTACACATTGTAAAGCCCTCTAATGCGAATTTGTATTTTGTGATTTTGGTCATGCAACACTGAAAGACAAGAATGTCTCAATGGCAGTCCAGACTTACAGAGGCAGGGGGCATGTCCCAGTCCTTGGCCGACTCTGGTGTCCCAATGTCCTCCTTCACACTCCTGTCCAGCAGCTTCTTACTAGCTGGCTCCTCTGTGTCCAGGATATCCAGAGCCTGCTGGAACTCTTTGGCAGCATACTACACAAAACAATCAGAGGCTAATAAATGTAAAGCACCGACAATATCTGGTAGATTGCTTTATAAATCATATTCTGCTTTACATGTAAAGGAGGGTTTGCAACCGATACAGTGTGCGTTTTGAATTTACTTACATGGCACCTAGCAGCGAGATACTGACAAGCTCCGTACAGCTGTTAGAGAGAAGACGTGTCGTTTGAGAGGGGGGAGACGGTTATATTTAATTTCATGTGGATTTGCGTTAACAAAAGCCGACAAACCACACACAACCTGCCGTTACCTTGTCGAGTTTCCGTGAACGCAGCGCATGGGAGGCTCTGTGGTACTGTGAGGTCAGGTAAAGGCACTGAGCGAGCCAGTAGATGTCCTGGGGGTCCTCTGCATGCAAAACAAAGGGCTCATCACTGACAGGCTACACACAAACGCCGCAACTGTTGCCAAGCTACTGTACTATAGTGTACGTGACAAGGTCGCATTTAAATCGTATTGTCGCTGCATGAAAGACAGTTCTGCTAACATTGCCATTGTAACTTAAAGAGGTAGGTTAGTAGGTTAAATCCGCTCTTGTGCTGGTGTGACTGTGGACTAACGGCACTCACTCACCGTGAGACAGCGACGCTATCTTGTCGGCCCAAAACAGAGCACTTTGATACTGTTGCTGTGGACAAACACACAAGGGAGAGTGGCAAGAGTCACTCATAGACATATATGCATAGTTATTACAGGCCGACAGCTTTTAAGTTAGCAAGGAAGTCAAGCTAACTAGCTATGTTGCTCTCAGGGTAGCATTAGCTAGCAACACAGAAAGTCCGAAATAAATTATCGGCTAACTCTTACCTGGTCAATGTACTGCCGTACTCGCTTTCGAAGTCTGTCCAGATTCATTCTGAGTTTTATTTATTACAATTATCGCTGCGAATATCAAAAGCGTGTCATTCTCACATACAGAAAAATGCAGTGTTTCAAACTATGCACAAAACAGTACGTGCTAGCTCGCTAGCGGCGAAAAACCAATTCCGCGGCTTCTTTCTGCAATGAGTGTACTGCAAAATTGTGCCGTAAGGAAACTCACGCTGGAAACAAAGTTCCGCATGCACCTGGTCACTTTCGCTATTTGTCTAGGTGTAAAATTACCATTAATTAGACATATATAAAACAATATACAAACATTCGCTTAAGATGTTTATTTGTGAAAAAAGATAATCATGTTTTTGTGAATATTACACATAAGTTCTATGCAGAAATTTAACATCTTAAATCCTGTATGCCATAAATGGCATTTTAAATTTTAAATAAATGGTGCTAAATGGCATTTTACAATGCAATACAGGATTTAATACAGTTTCACTCTAAATATGTATTTTTCAAACTGCCTATGGTGACACAATGAGTGTCCTTAATGTGAATGAAAACAAGTTTTACAAAACAAACAAAACGCTGTTATCTAACCTGGATTATCAGGCGTATCCTGCAAGACGTAATACGCAGATGCAGTATGTTGTTATGTTCGGCTGTGTCTCTCTTCTTGTACCTTCTTTCTGGCTTGTTTATTTCTCCTTTTCATTTTCTTCAGACTCTAATTTTCCATTGGCCTTGCTGCTTGCAGGGCTGTGTATGGTTGCACCAGCACTGACTCCCCAAACCTGTTTTTATTTATTTTTTTGTCATCACTGCGCTCCTTGTTTTCCTTGTACCTGAAATTGGCATATAAAAATCATTATATTATATTAAACCGTTTAGGTGGTCATTGTGAGTGCAGACGTGACATATTGTGCATAATTCCTTTTATTTAACAAAAACAGAGCATTTCGTTTCAGGCATGTGCCCTGCCTCGGGGAGTAATGGGTAATACTGTGCATCACTATGGGAGTTTTGAGCCACTTCTCATGCCAGCTCCTCTGATTATGTCAAGCACTGCACTGGCTCGGACGGAACCGGATCATTTGATTCTCCAGCTGTCACTTCTCCGCGCCGAGGCTGCTATGAAGAATAAACACAGGCTTTGAGACTTGTGCAGTATCAAGGGCCACCTTATTGCTCACCAATACAACTTGTTGCTTCACTGTATTATGTACTTCTTTTTTATTATTCCGATAATTCGGCCACAACCTCAACCGACCTTTTGTCTGTCATAATAATTTTTGTTATGAACTTCTGCACTTTTCCTCATGATCTGCAATATTTTCTCTACAAGAATACGGTTTTCCCTCTGCATCTTTCTTCTTCAAGCTTAATGCAATAACTTGATGATACGTAGTGTTCAGGTTGAGATAACATTATTCACTGAACTATTCATTCAGCACTGAAACATCTGCTGCCACCTTATGGGCATAATGTGAGTACAGTTTAAAACAGCAACCTTTCTGTTCTTCATCTTCACTGTGAGATGACAATAGGTCTTTGGTGGCGTTGTGTTTAGTGTTGGTTTGGCCGTCTTCACCATAAGAGACCAGTCCAAAAAAAACCCCATATACATAAAGCAATGAATCATCAACTTGAATAAAAACTAGGCGTAGGTAGAATTTAATGAAACTGTAAATGGAAGGTATTAATCCACTTTAAAGTAGTGCCACCTCACCCAGTACCTCCCCCGACTCACCTCCACTCTGTGGCGTCTGGATGTCACAGCTTTTCTGTGCCCAGAAGCGTCCCGGCTGATTCCAGCTCCAGAGACTGTGGTCTGTTCTCTGCCAGTCATCCGCGGTTGCCATGACAGCGGCTGCGGAGATGAATGAAGTGTTTCAAACGATGCGCTTGTTTAGCAAGTTCCACACAGAGAGACGCATAAAGGCACCGAGATAGGCTAATTAGTGGGGGGTGGGGGGGCAGGAGGAAGGGTGTGAGGATGTGTGTGTGGGGGGGGGGGGCACTGTGAAATAAGCTGCTGCACAGTTCAAAGCTGGAAATACAGACTGAATGTGCTCGTTTCAAACTAAAATGTAAAAATGGTGACACAAATGATCTAAATTCATATCTAATCATACTTTGTCTCCACCAGGCTCGTCGTGAAATGGTTAAACGAACTGCAAAATTATTTAATTTAATAAAAAAAGAATACAAAATTGACAGCATTAAATAAATGAGGTCATGGGAATGTTTCTCCTTTCTTGCTACATCCAGACAGTACCAGCCTCGGGAGCAGTTTGAAACTTCTACTAATGCACTCGGTGCAAACACAGTTTATACACCCACAGAAAACAGCACTGCACTGCCTGATCATACCAAGAGGGATCGAGTTCATGCAAAGTTAGACAACCACATCAAATGAAATGTCTACCACTGCAGTGGTATCCTGTTATTGATCGTGTCATGTATCCACTATCTGGGACAAACCAACACAACGGCGTGTACCATTGAGGATCTGTTGAATGAATCCCATTGAGGTGATACGACTTCATGAATGAACATCTACACATGCCACATTTCCCCCTACTGACCAGAACGGGTTATGACAACTCTTTGGTGCAACGGAGATCATAACTTGTTAATAATTCAAATTCCACGCACTCATGACACAGATAATTAAGTCGCCCCTTTCTTCCCATGATGTAACATCTAATTCAGTTTACATGCAATGGTTTAAATGTCAAATGTAATCTGTGACAAGATTCAGAATGGCTAAATGAACTTAATGTCGACATGTAACCTTCATGTGCATTCCCTGTTACTGCGTACTTTTTATAAGTATATTATAGAACAATGCAGTAGTTTATAATGGCAGCATTTGTTGCAAAATTGCTCTAATAAAGGGGGTTCTTTATATCTCCTCTCACAAGCCAATTAATTGCCCATTATTTTATACTTCTTCCAGTCACAGTCACATGTCGGTGCAGAGGAAGTGCCCTTGTGAATGAATTATGGGCAATAAAACCGTACCTGTCCAATTTGTTGCTTTGTTGTATAAAGAGGAGACGCGTTGATGGGACAGCTGGCAGATGCAAGGCCGATAAAATGTAGGTCCTGGAGATGGATGACTCTCAACCTGCCGTGGTCTTTCTTTGTGATTTTAAAACACAAAACAGTGCTTTTTAATGAATTCAACCTCAAACGGAGATACCTTCGGAATCATATTAAATGTCCTTGTGAATTGCAGCACATCACGCAGAGGACGTTCAGGCTCTTGTGAAACCTCCGCTCACTATAGATTTTTCCAGCTGGCTGGTTCTTCCATATTGAACCTGGAGTAGACGTGTTGTGCTTATGATCTGTTCTTTTATGGCGTTAAGGGGATTTATTGGCAGAAATGGAATACAACAATCATAGTGAATAATCCCCTGAAACAAAGAATCGATCTGTTTTCCTCTGGTTAGAATGAGCCCACAGGTAGCACGCGCTGCATATAAGAAGTGCACGTCATCCATTGGTGTGTGGACTGCCGCTATGAGGCCTCGAGTTCTGCGTTTTCATTGCCGCCATCTTGGACCGCGAGGATTACCGTTGTGTTTATGTTTTAAGACACTTGGCCTCACCCGGCAGAACCGCAGAGCCTAGAACCTGTCTGGTACGAACACGAGGAGCAAAGGCTGCTCACAGGTTCACAACCTCATACTACGTTTATTTACCAGCAAACTGACAAACCAATAATAAGCAAAAACCTTGATCCCTCACAGGACATCTCCTCTATGTTTACCTTTAAAAAAACACCGGTTTATCTTGTGTTTGATGGCAAAATTATTTGTTTACATATAATAATCTTAAAAAGCAGTTAATCACTTTCCATTCATAGTCCATTGTTACTGAATCTTGTGACAAACATGAAGGTAAAATGTATGAAAACCATAGTCGCCTCAATCAGCTATTGAGAAGATGAATAATGATGTTGTTAAGCTATTAAAGCGTGTTTCCATGTCCTGCCTGGCAGGGGATGCTACCAGTTCCAGGAAGGCCTCACTGGGGAAGAGTGGATCTTCCATTGTGGGAATAAGACGGTCTCTTTGGTAAATGAGATGTACAGGGAGTTAAAAGCTGCGACGCGGACAGACATAACAGAAAGGCTGTGTGTGTGTGTGTGTGCAGTTGTGTTTTTTTCCAGATTATGCAACATCTTAAATCTTATAGAGTATATTAATATAAACATTCCGAAAGGATGCTTCTATTGTGTAGAATCCTACTCCTATCAGATGATGCTATATATTATGTTATGTAACATAAGTATATGTTATATAGTGGAGGCCGTTTGTAAGTACAAGGACACAGTATAGTACTTTGCTTTTACAATCCAGCAAATGTGTTTATATTGTATTTTCATCTTTTGTTGTTTTTTATGATTTATCTATTTTCTATCGCTTTAATATTTGAATATTTTCTGCACCTTTTCTTTCTACTGAAGTTGCATTTTCCACCTTGCTGCTGTAATCATGCAAATCTGCCCGCTGTGAGACTAATAAAGCATTATCCTATCTTATATTGTTTCATCTTAAATCTACTTGATTGCTTCGTTTGTTGCACTTCGGCTAGTGAACAGAGACTTGGTGTCCCTTTGCTGATTGGGACGAATACCACCCATATTTATTTATACATGTAGCCAGACCCAAAGTGAGATTGGAGGAGTTTGTGCATTCCCCGGGGGTCGAGATCAAGGTTTCATTATTATTTTTTTTAGCAAGCCTGTGTGATGGAGAGTGACTACGTCAACAGGTCCCGTGAGGAGATCCACACTCGGCGATCATCCATCACATGGGGGGGTTGATGACGCATTAGACACATCTCTGGGCACACGGCTTACTTCCTCTGAGGATGTCCTTGTTCTGCCATTAGCTATGATGGAAAACACAGTGTCTCATATCCAAACAGGAAACGTGACATAAATTCTGTGCGATCATATGGGCGGGTTATCAGCAGCCCTTCGGTGTGCAAAAGAAGCCCTAAACAAAACAGTATGCAGCTCCCCTGGTTAATGAAACCTTTGCTCTAATTACATCTGAGAACCCGTCACACTTGATTTACTAGAAACTCACAATCAAGTTAATACAATTTACAGCTAATGGGTGGTAGAATAGCTAACGACTCCAAGGCTACACACCCTCAGCCCCGACGCTCCATTAATACC